TTCAGCAGGCCCTTGGGTGGATTACACCTTCCTTGGTTTCCTGGATGTTCACTCAATGCAAATCCAGACATCTTATGTGTTCTTTGGCACAGAACACAAGTCTCCAAGATTCACAGCTCTTATGATAGTGGAAAACACAGGTCTAATCTGTATCAATTCCCCTTGGCTCCATAAGCAGGCGGTATGGGGAAAATTCACATCTACCTCCATTCTGGCCCTAAGATCTCTTCCCCCCCTCCCTCCCCTTCAGCCAAGATATCACTGTCAAGGCATCCTGCCTCCCCAGCGCATAATAAATACTGCTAAAGAGTTATTGTCTGGAATCTGTATATCATAAAAACTATCAGGCACAGAACCCATGCAGCTACACTCACCCCATAGAGATTAACACACCACATGGTTCAGCACTGATGAAAAAGCATCAACTCAGGTACAAAGTACTGACTGATTGTGCAGGTCCTCATTAAGGTTTTACTAAGCATCCCAAGGTTATACTTCCCCTCTATCGGGCGCTGGTCAGACCGCAGTTGGAGTACTGCGTGCAATTTTGGGTGCCGCACTTCAAGAGGGATGTGGATAACCTGGAGAGGGTCCAGAGAAGGGCCACTCGTATGGTTAAGGGCTTGCAGGCCAAGCCCTATAAGGAGAGACTAGGGCACCTGGACCTCTTCAGCCTCCGCAAGAGAAGGTTGAGAGGCGACCTTGTGGCTGCCTATAAGTTCATCATGGGGGCACAGAAGGGAATTCGTGAGGCTTTACGCCCCTGGGGGTTACAAGAAATAATGGCCATAAGCTAACAGAGAGCAGATTTAGACTGGACATTAGGAAGAACTTCTTCACAGTTCGAGTGGCCAAAGTCTGGAATGGGCTCCCAAGGGAGGTGGTGCTCTCACCTACCCTGGGGGTCTTCAAGAGGAGGTTAGATAGGCATCTAGCTGGGGTCATCTAAACCCAGCCCTCTTTCCTGCCTATGCAGGGGGTCGGACTCAATGATCTATTGAGGTCCCTTCCAACCCTAACATCTATGAATCTATGAATCTATGAACTGTTCAAGCAATTCAACAGTTGCCATCCTGACACTACACCACCATTGACCTTGGTAGATGGCCTCTTCAGATCCCTACAAGTCACAATGGGAAAGTTATCCACAATGAAGAATAGGAAACTGTTAATACTACAAGTAACCCCTAGAAAAGCCCAAGGCACTACAGCAAAATTTCCAGGCTCCAGCTGGTCCCCTCCTGGGCTTTTCCACTCTCTGCTCCATCTCTGCAGGAGAAAATGGTAGGGCAGTAAGGGGGTCTCACACTAGAAAATGTGATCCAGCAGAAGAGGCTCCATTGGTGGGGGCTGCTGGACTGGGGCGATAGTAGCAGTGTGACTCACCACAACCACTTCAGGATTCTCATCCTGAAGATGCAGAAGGAGGTGGGACCTGTTTGTGAGCAGCCTCCTCTGTCACCAGACATTTCTCTCAACATGTCACAGTTTTAGCTGCTCCTGCAAAGAGCTTGCTGGCAGCATAGTGCAGTGCTAGTGTTAGCTGTGAGCCATGAAAAAGGAGAGGTGTAGGAACTGGATCCTTTTCCTTCTCTCAACAAAACAGAGACACTGTTTGTCCAAATGGACTTCCTCCCCAGTGCTTAGTTTACAAGGAGCATGTTTCCCTTGGGAGAAACTGAATGAACAATTGTATGCTCATAGTTTCCACCTGGAGAGCAATGAATCTCCCAGTAGAAACAACACTTGTATGTGGCATGAGTCAGCAACTGTGTTTTCTTCTCATATTAAGAACTAACCAATCCCAACCCTTTCTGCCCATCCTTCCCTCCCTACACCCTGCACAGCCCACCAGGCAGTTCCTATACAGACCCAGTGTCCTAGGGGCTAGGGAGTATGAGGGGAATCCAGGGGGCAAGTTATTCTTAGGCCTCATTAAAGTGCAAATAGCAGCTCCAGCTGTAGGCAGAACAGAACAACTGGATCAAGTGCCAAGTGCCCCCTGATTAGGCTGGGCCTGAAAATCTCATCTCACACAGGCCTCATGGTAACTCAGGATGGCCCACAGTCATCACACTCATCCACAGCTGCTTTGCTGACACATGCTGCAGGCAGTTGCCCTTATTGACCTACGTGTCTACAATCCCAGACTGTAAGCACTTCAGGCCACTTGCAACACACTTGTCCAATCACTTTCCTTGCATGACACTTTGTGAGCAGCATCCAAGACTTAACCATGGCTACCTTAGGCACCACTGAATTGAGTCAGAGAAAGCTGGGCTTCCCTGGGAGCAGAATAGCAAAGCTTTGCCCTGATTGTCACATACGCTACAGCAGAGGTGGGTAACCCTTGGCACGCAAAGTCATTTTGCTTGGCATGCACACCTCGGGGCGGACAGCAAAGGAGCCAGGACTGTGCTGCCACAAGAAGGATTGGGCCTCTCACGGCTCCCCGGCCATCCACTCCTGGCATGCTAACGTCTTGCAAGTCGAGATTTCAGGCGTTTTTAGCACTTGGCCCAAAAATGTTGCTGGCCACTGCACTACAGCCTGCCACAGGCTAGCCATGTTAGCAGCAGCTGGGTGTCCATGGTGGTTTTTGTCATAGCCACCAGGTGGAGCCAAAACACTGAACTCACTTCCCAGTGTTTGGGTCTAAGGCTTGCCATACCCCGTCCAGCTTCTGCTGTGTTTCTGCCCAGCTGGCAGCATAGTGGGCACTTAAAGGGATGCCAAGTGCTCCAGCATGGGCTGTCCTCCCTGTAGGTTTAACTGATATTACCTACACTTAGCCAGGCCCCCCAGTTAGAGCATGAGCAGGCAAGCTGCTGGGTGGATTTGATTTAAATCTTGGGAAGAAAAGGCTCAGCAGTGCTACGCTGGCCAGCACTACAGATGAAAGGGACTTGGGGGTCATGATTGACCACAAGATAAATGTGAGCCTTCAATGTGATGCTGCAGCTAGTAAAGTGAGCAAAATGCTGGCTTGCATCCATAGATGCTTCTCAAGCAAATCCCAGAACATCATTCTCTCGTTGTACTCGGCCTTCGTGAGGCTGCAGCTGGAGTACTGCATCCAGTTTTGGGTTCCACAATTCAAAAGGGATGTGGAGAAGCTTGAGAGAGTGCAGAGGAGAACCATGAGCATGATCAGAGGTCAGGAAAACAGACCTTACGATGACAGGCTGAGAGCTATGGGGCTCTTTAGCCTGGAAAAGCGCAGGTTCAGGGGTCATCTGATGGCCACCTATAAGTTTATCAGGGGTGTTCACCAGGATCTGGGGGAATGTTTGTTCACCAGAGCACCCCAAGGGATGACAAGGTCAAACAGTTATAAACTCCTGCAAGACCATTTCAGGCTGGACATAAGGAAGAATTTCTTCACTGTCCGAGCCCCCAGGGTCTGGAATAGCCTGCCACCGGAGGTGGTTTAAGCACCTACACTCAATGCATTCAAGAGAAATTTGGATGCTTATCTTGCTGTGATCCTATGACCCCAGATGACTTCCTGCCCCTTGGGCAGGGGGTTGGACTCGATGATCATCTGAGGTCCCTTCCAGCCCTAATGTCTATAAAATCTATTAAATTATGATTTAAATCACAATTTAAATCACTGGTCAGGACACCATGATTTAATCAGTTTAGGGATTTTTTTTTTTTTTTGCAATTTCTTAGTTGGTTTAATAAAAGGTATCATCTCTGAACCAAGGGTTTTAGAGTTTTGCCTTTCTTTTTTATTTAAAAACTCTTTTCTACAAAAAGTGCATTCTTGCTGTTTGATACCCTCTATTAATTTCACTTTGTGAAACTACACTTTTAGAGAGAGATAAGGGCTTGACTGTGTACGCAAACTTGCAGAGACAAGAGGGCTGATGGGTAGGTAATCAGGTCTGTTATCTCTTATCTCCATATACTGCTGGTAACAACGGATGTTCTCTCTGGAGACACAAATCCATAGTTTGAAAACTGAAACTAACCATCACAGAGATGTTTAATGGGATCTTCTAGACTGAGCACTAAGTCCCATTGGGTTGAGTGGTTTTCTTTAATCTTTACTAATTTATAGAGGAGCCTCTGGGAACCCCATAAGATTGGGGCACTAATATAGTCTGTGGCCTGTTGTGACCTATTGATAAAACTTTTCTAAACAAGTTACATGAATATAGTGTCTCAAATAGTGTATAATAATTAGAAGTTATAATCCCTATTTCATGATGATATCTTTGAACTTTAAACCTATATATAGTTTTAATCTAAGTTATTTTTTTCTAAAAAGCATCTTAAAAATAAAAACCTATGATTACATTTTTAAAGCTCTGATTAAAGTTAAAAAAAAAATTGTGATTTTTATCCACCTGCCACACTGTGAAGTAACGCTGGAGCTGCTGGGATCACACTGGAAAGCTGCTCAGATGACAGTCAAGTTTTTTTGGGTCCGTCAGCTGGCCTCACTTGGAGCTGTGGCCTGTAACTCCCTTGGGCCAGACACCTCCAGTTAAGAGCACCACCACACGAGTCCAGAGACTGTGTACGTGTGTACAAGAGAACCCAACCTGAGGTAAGGGCAATCTTGAATTAGCTTTGCAGTTAAGAGAAACATTAGGAAATATGCCACAAAGCGAGGTGCTCATGGTTGGCCCACACTTACCTGTGAGCAGTTGAGCTCTTTAGTGTTTTACGAGGATGAGGATCCCCTTATGCCGCTTTGCATAGCCATGGCAACTGTTGCTCCTGCCCGCCCCCTTGGCTCTCAAGGGGGTGCAACATCCCCAGAAGAGCTTCCCCCCTTACGGCTTTTATTCAAGATTATCCCAGCATGCTCTGCAGCAAACACCGCAAAGTAGCATGCTCAGCAATTTGCAGAGGGCTGTGAGAAGATGCAACAGGTGCAGTGTAGGGTCAAAAACAGCACTGCCGGTATGCAACTTAGGGGAGAGGCCCCATGTTAGCTCCTCTCCCTACTCAGTTGTGGGTCTCACTCACACAGCAACAGGTCACTGAAGTTTATGGAGTCACCCAGGGCAAGATCAGGATCCAGCCCTACAGGGGCACCAGCAGATCCTGCCTCATGGCTGTACTAGAGAGAGAAGCATGTCAAAAGCAGCCCACCAGACTGGAACCAGCTCCCAGGCAGCCCCATTTCTTTAAAATTTTATTTAAAAAAGAAAGACTGCTTTGTGGCTTTCTGCAGGAAGCATACTAGGCTCCTCACCCCCATGCACAACAGATTCGTGTGCTGAGAGTTCACCGCGAGATCAATTGCCGCCTCCTCAGCAGCACAGCCTCTGGGGTCATTCCCATTACGAGTATCAGTTCAGGTAACACTGTGACCCCTCCCCTGGTTGCCTCATCAGTGCAAGACAGAAGCTTATGTGATGTGTGACCCTCCATTTCTACAGTACCAGCTTCCATACTGCTGCTTTCACCTATCAATCCAGCATCAAGAATAGGGAGCACCAGCTGGCAGGTCATTGGCTTTTGTCTACTTCCAGCAACAGCCAGCCATCTTGTAGGAAATTCTTCCCCTCTCCAAAGAAGTGAGCTCTCCAGGCACTCCACTGCCTGCCTTGCCCAGTACTCTGGCTCAGAGCAGCACCAGCCATAGAGAAGCTGTAGTTTCTAAGTGCCCATCTGCTCTGCATAGCTCAGCCACGGCATGAATGCATCCTCCCAGAGGGAATCAGTTGTGGTAGGAACCAGGCTGCAAGACCTTTGGAATCAGAGGGGTTGGCTGACATGCCCAGTCCATTGCGCCAGCCCTTGGTGACCATCCCTGTAGTAAGAGTCATTTCCTTGAGGTGTCTGCTGTCAAGGTCTGCTTGGCATCAGCAGCTGGAAGGAAAATCTGCAGTGAAGTCAAACTCATTCTGGCCAAGCCACAGCTCTGGGAGTTCATCAGCCCGGTCCAGACCCAGTTCCACGACCAGCGACATCAGTACCTCCTCATCCACGGGATCCGAATCAATAATGCCTGGGTTGTGGGTGCCAGCAGGGGGAGCCAGTGTTCCTTGTCCTAGGGGCTGGGCCCCAAAGCCCCAGTTCTGGATGGAACCAACCTCAACTGGGTGCCCTGAGACCCCCATGGCATGATACTGGCTGTTGAGTTTCTGCAGCTGCATGCTGGCCAGCAGGTGAGGGGCTGTCTGCAGGGTGAAGGCAGACTGCTTGGAGGGCGGTGGACCTGCAGAGGGAGACATCATGCCCACACTGGCTATATGGGGACCACCGCTGACCTTGTTAGCGCTCATGCCTGCCCCAGGGTAATGGAGGATGGTCACTGCTTTATGGTCCTTCATGCCCAAGCTGGGGTAAACCAGAGAACTCATTTCCCGATGGGTCCTACACAAGAAACAGGAGTTTAGAACATGGCATCATCGAGCAGCATACATCCAATCCCCTGAATCTGTCCTTGTGCACCCTACTATTGGATGCCAGGGACAGCAGCCCAAGGAGTGCCCAGCATGCCCAATTCACCCCCACCGCAGCCTGCATCCCACAGCATCACTCTGGGCCCAGCCTGCTCTGGCTGATAGCCTAGGCCTGCTGCCCAGTGTCCTCTCCTGCCCATGCCCAGTGACACTACTGCACCTGGAATGGGGAGAGCATGTCCAGGATCAGTTGAGGTAAGGCCAGTGGGTGTGCCCTCGGATCACTGCCCTGCCACGTGGCATCTACACTATCACCAAGATGTTTCAGTGGCATCAAGCAGTTCCTCCCGTGTGCAGGGGAGCAGCCAAAGCTTGGGCACCTGGCATTCTGCTTGAGCCCATACAGCCTCATGCTGGACCTCTGCAAGAGGACCATCATCACCCAGTTGGCACAGACATGCACCACTCAGTCCCCTTCCAGGGCACAGCCATCTTGGGCTTTGCCCCTTAAGCCTGACTGTGCCTGTACACACTACTGATGCCAGCTGCTAGCATGATCACATTCGATCCAAGGAGGGCTTCCAGCTCAGCCCTGGGACCAAACTCCAACCCTTCTCTGCCAACAGTTCTACCTCTGCTTTTGATCTGTGGCTTGGAAGCTGCTGCATTCCCTGCTTCAGGGACAGGTGAATGCTAAAGGGAACTAAGTCTCCAACCTGGAAGATCAGAACTCTCTAGAGACTAGCAGACTTCTCCCACTCAGCCAACAGGCACCACACAAATGCTGCTTATGTGCCACAGAAGTCCTAGCTGAGCTTGACAGCAAGAGAGCTGAATGGGGCCAGTCTAGGGCATTGGTTTTATAACAGCTATAGGTTCCCTAGGATATGGGACCAAGATCAGTACCATCTCCCTGTGTATCCATCCACCACACTATCTGGTGCTCTTAAAACTCCAACTGGTGCACGCACATGCAGCCCAAGGAGTGCCCAACTCCTGTTTCTCTCATGATCATGCTAGCAGCCAGCACCAGTAGTGGGCCCCCACGCGCGTGCACCCACCCATCCTCTCCTATTATGATGAGACAAAAGGGCTGGAGAACATGACCCAGGCAAATCCTAATAGCTCAGGAACCAGGAGTCAAGGGAAAAGCACCTATGCTCTTATTTCAAGCTGCATGATTCTGTAGCCAGTCACCTGGCCAGAAATCACTATAGTCCCTGGTCTGCAACACAAGGTCTGAGACCTGCCAGTATCCCTGCTTGGATGTTGGCTTTTCCCAGAAAGGGGGGCGAGACACATCCTGTGCTGCTGTCAGATGGTCCACCCCAGAGTCCCCTGGAACTAGGGGCCAAACTCATCCTGGAAGGCACCTGTTAGATGTAGCCAGACTGATAGACAGCAAGGCTCTCACCCTGGATCACAGCCAATGGGCACCTCTCAGCTGATTCTGCCTTCATTAAACACCTCCTTGAAACTGCAGCATGGGTGGGCCGCACTCCCGGGCAAACAGGTGCTTCCAACACCCATGCTGCAGAGCTACAGCAAGTGCCAACACCCTCCCCACATCACCATCCTGTCTCTCCGTACTGGAGCAACTGGCTCTGCATGAAGCCAGAGCCAAAAGCCAACAGGACCCCTGCTCCCCTCCCTGGAGGCTCCATGCTGACTAGTTCAATTTTGCCTCCAGGTTCTGTGAGGCTCTTCCAAAGGCTGGTATCTAAGCAAGAGGGTCCTTGAGCTGAGTGGACCAAGATTTGGGATCTGTCAAGTTATATAGCAGAACCCCCCACACCAGACAGGAGCTCCAGACATACCGAGGGGTGATCCCAGAGGTCATGGCCCGCCCAGTGTAGCACATTCCAGTGTTGACACCAGCTGTGCACTACTACCCAGTTGGGCGGAAAAGGGCCATTTACACAGGCTCTACTAGGAATTCAGAGGACCCCAATGGCAGCACAGCCACTATGCCCTTGTAGCCCAAGCACTGGACAGTATCTCAGGCCATCTTAGCTAAGTCATTTCATTTCCTCCTGCCTCAGTTCACCCTCCCACCCCTAGTCTATTTAGATCACAAGCATTTTCAGGCAAGGACACAGTGTTGTGTGTGATGCTCAATGCAAGAAGCCCTGCTCTCAATGGAAGGAGGTGGCCACAGGCAAAGGGCATGGAGCCTGCAGGGTTGTGGCACTACATGGAAGAACTGCAGGCACCAAAGCTCCATGAAGAGAAGTAGGTCTGAACCTTTGTCTTTGGGCAGTCAGGGGAGAGCCACCTTGACCCAGCTAGAGAGTGAGGTAGACAGAGGGCTTGGCATTTTCTTTTATTAGGTCACAGCCCAAGTGACCCACAATTAACATCCAGCCTCACTGGCACTTCAGGCTCCTTCCTCTCTGCTGTCAAGAGGAAGGACACCCTGCCTGGGGAGCAGAGGGCTGATGATTAAGTATTACCTACCCTCTCACATACCAGGATCTAGCTGGGACTCAACCCTCTTCCTCCACTTCCTAAAGGGAATGGGGGAAGTGGTCAGGTCATTGTGCCAACACCTGCTTGCAACCCCACACCTCTCCCCCCACCCCCCAATCCCAAAAATACAGCACCACCCTCACTCCTATCTCCAAGTGCTCCAAATTTCTGGCAGTAATTTAGGCACAGACAGCTGCAGTGCAGGTCAGCGTTGCAGCCACTGATAACCACATGAAGCTCTTGATGCCAAGGGGTGAATACTAGCTCACTGGCCCCACTAGCAGGAGCTACACCAGGTAGGTTTGGTCAGCTGGAAGTAAGTGGCCAAGGGAAGACACCTGCAGATCAGTGGCATCACCTTTAGTATTCTGCCTTTTCCTGGTTGCTAGACTGCCTGTCAGCAGCTGACTGGCTTACCCACCATAGAGACAGCAGAAGCAGAACAGTTATGGATGGGTGGAGCTGCTTTTATAAGAGGGCAGTCAGTCCATCTGAACCTAACAGCTTGCTGAGCTAGCATGGGTTACGCATGCTACTCTAGTCAATGAGATGCACAACCCCCATCCCCTCTTTCCTAAGAAGCCTGCCAAAGTCTAGGGTTGAGCCTGAGCTCTTCAAACTGAGCAACTTCGGCCATAGCTGGTCCACACCATTGCACTGTGATTAAAGTTAGACACAGGCTTCCCCAGAACACAGTCCTCAGACAAACAATAGCACTAGGAGGGGAGAGCTTCCCTCATTCATTTTAACCAGGGACCAAGCTTTGAAGCTTGGCAGTCAGCACCACTTAAAATGCAAACCCTGGTTGTCATCCCAACCCTCCCAGAGCATGTGCTCCAGAAAGCAGAGGTGGGAGAACAACACAGCCCATATGGAGTCAGGCCTCCAAAACACATGGTCTGTCCCACCCAGCGAGTAGCAAGGACAGCCCCATGCAGGCAGCAGAAGATGCTGCGGCCGCAGCTGTGTCAAAAGCCGTTAGATGGGGCTTTCTTCAGGGACGCTGCCATATGGCACATGCTTGGGGGTGGTTTGCAGTGCAGCAGATAGCCGCTGGCCCATTTGTTTCTATTTGGGCTCTGGGGCCGCAAACAGCCCCCAAAGGCTTGCTCCGACTTCACTGTCACAGCGCGCCCTCAGGAATTCGCCACCTCCCTCCAGCCCTGACTCCGGGACTCCTGCAGTGGCAGCGGGTTCAACTACAGCATCCAATTCCGGCCTCGCAGGGGTCTGTGCAACGCCACAGAGCGGCAACCAAGTGTGGCCTGCCAGCCGGAGTGCCAGCCTGGCGTGCAGCCCCTGCCGGGGCAGCCTGGGCGACGCCACCTGGGGCCTCCCAGCGCGGGGTGATGGAGGAGCCTGGCTCGTGGCACCGCACGAGAGGGCAGCCAGGGCTCAGGGCGCCGCGTCCAAGCACAGGCCGGTCACACGCCCCGGGGGGTGCGCCTCCGCCAGGGCAGCTCCGGCCCCGCGTACGCAGCGCCCGGGGCTCGGGTCCCCCCGCCTCGCTGCA